GAGGGGGGCAAATTAAACTATGAGTCCCCTGGGGTGAGCACAGAATCTCTCTCCACAATTCTGCCAGCTGATTCTTCACCATATTGATTTCTGCTTTAGAAGATCAGCTGCAGGCATAAGTCTTTTATCTACTAGCTAACATCAGTATTGATTACTTCTCAACTAGAAATCACACAATCTCATATAGCTATTTATTTAAACAAAAGGCTTGATATAGAAGGACAAAACTAGCAATTACAGTGAAATGTGGATACCTGTTTTCTGCAGCACCAGTGCTATAAGCTGTTCTTAAAACCATCCTAACTGTGCCTCATCCCACAGGTTTGGTGTGATGAGATATGCCCAATGAAATGGACATTATGCAAGAGCACCCAGAAATGAGGGGAAAAACAAAGTGAAAGTGCTATGCTTGAAGGGTCCTCATCCTATGACGATTCTCAAGTACAGCATTAGTACTTCAGAACTTCTGGGATTCCCTCTGTATTTCATGAGAAACAGCTCTACACAAAGCAGCAGGACCAGGAGAACCCGAGCACAATTTATAGTCCCTGGGTCTGCATGTGACCCAGGTACTGGGAGTAAGGGAGCCACAACCAACAGCTTTCTGAACATAGTCTTTTTGACTGCAAAATATTTCTTTTCCAAATAAAACGTAATGAACCATTTAATTTTTCCCTAGATGAAGAGAATGTTTCCTTTGGAATTTGTTTTACCAGTTCTGTTTCAGAACTTACAGACATGTAATTTCAGATATTCTTTTTTTCACCAAATATTCAATCACAGCATCCTCACCTTTTCAGTAACAATCTTACTGTTTCATATGAAGTATCTTAAAATGAAGCCTTCTTTACGTAGACTTATTTGGAATCTGTTATTCCAAAACTGAGGAATTCAGTCAGGAAGAAGGTGACTGCAAAGCACCACGCACAAGGCTGCACCTTTCAGGAGCTGTCGGTGTTACCCCTACAGTTCTATTCATTTCTCTGCCTCAGGGAAGAAGGTCTCAGCAAGAGACTTTAAATTCCAAATGTTAAGAAGCTACATAACAAGGAATGTCATTAGGTGATATTTTTTAAATTAATACCATTATTGATTAGCAGCGCTTTTGGACTTAGATATGATTTGCTCTAACTTAATAAGAGGATTGGATTGGGTAATTTGTCAAAACCCCTTCTAGCCCCATCCTCTGAGATTGTAAAACTTATTCCTGGGATCCATCCACAGGCAAAGAGAAAAAAAAAAAAGAAGAAAAAAAAAAAGATAAAACAGACCACTACCACCATCCAACTCCTTTATTTTGTTAATATAACATCTACTAAAAATTGCTGGCTCCTCTGACACTTCAGCTGGGGAATAACAAGCTCCAGGGCAGGCTCACAATATAGCCAATGGTAGAATCATACAAATCAATATCCCAAAGCTGTAAATCAAACTACTTTGTAACTGCAGAGGGAAACTCTTCACCCAGATTACAGCCCATGCTTTTGCTTACCTTGGATAGAGAGATTGGGTCACTTTCAAGGAACTGCTTGCTTAAAGAAGGGTCTGTGCTTCCTGAAGAAGCCTTCCGCTCCAAAATATGAACACTCTGGGGGGGGAAAAAAGTAGCTAAAGATAAAAACTTATCATTCAATGTTACTTTTAAAAATACATATTAAGGAATGAATAACCAATCATTACACTCCTTATACAAAGTATCAGCATCATGGCTCAAAACATGCCAAGCACTACCAATGCATGACATAACTGCACTAGTAGTTTGTCTTCTGAAGCAATACACCTCTCTTTCCTTCCTCTCTCTCCTAAAAAAAAAAAAAAAACCAACAACAAAAAAACAAACCACACCTAATTACTCATCAGCCTAGAAATGGCTGGGAACTAAAAAAAAAAAGTCAGGAAAGATGAATAATGCAGTTCTTACTTACAGAGATGCAAAGTGCTCCTAGCCAGACCTATTACGTTTTCTGCTAAGAGACAAGACACTGAGTTTACGTATTGTGCAGTTGGCACTGTCCTACATTCACTTCTGAAGCAAACCTTTGCACGTAAGATATTACTGCCTCTAACATGTCACACCTTAGCATTTTGTAACTGGCTTCTCAACTGAGGTGAAGCAACTCATTACATGAGTGCTTTTAATAGATTACAGGCATTCACCAGATCAGTTACTGAGCCTCAGCTGACGGGCTTGTAGGTGATCATTTATAGAACACAATGAACTTAAACCATTACAGCTGTTTTTACGTATGACAATACTATAAAACTTTTTATCTTCAAAGCATTGTACAAAGATGAAATACATAATGTCACAACTAGTTCTGAAAAAAAATGTTATTCTTAAATGACATCTAAAAGTGTTTTCCAGAAATGTTTCACTCATATTTTTTAAAAGAAAAAGCATTTTTGCTACTGGAGAAAATTACCACATTCTGCCTCCTTGGATTTGTATTTCATTCTCTGGTGAAATTTTTCTACATCTCATTATTATTTGCTAAGAATTCTACCACAACATGTCAGTAGTATCTCTTTGGCATGAAGTAAAACTATTTCATTTGCAGGACATGTAGCACAATGGCAAACTCACAGTTGCAATTACCCTCTAAGAAGGGTAAGTATTTCTCAACTGAAAATGACAATTAGATTTTGTTCACAATTAAGCTTCTTCACATTTACTGAAGAAAAGATTACACAGGTACAAGTGACAGCAGAAACAATCAATCGGAGTATACAAATACAATGGAACAGCAGAGTAAATATTATTGTTTATACAGATAACCAAGTACATAAGGACCATAACCAAACTAAATGAAAATAAACACAGCTATTCATATAAACACACATATAACACAGACCCCATCTTGCTGCAGAGCAACACACAGACCTTCATTGTTCTCTTTCAATTTGCAACTGTGAATGAGAATACGAAAGTATGGGGATTGTATCTGTTGTCAGTGGAGATTAATAAGCACCCCTGCCACTATGCAACAATAATCGGCATTTACTTTCAGTTACTTTTAATTTAATTTCACAGTGAAGAATGTGGAAAAGCAGCAGTATTATGTTACCTGCCAAATTCCCCAAGGCCAACCAGCAAAAGCTTTGTCATCTATGCTTTGAAATCTGCTTTATCAAAGAAAGGCCAATCTTATAGCCCAATGTCTATTACTAGTCAGATGAGAAAAACGCTTGGATTTATGTAGCACAAGTTCCTACATTACATGTCAAATAATTTAATATGCCTGTTTGAGCTGAGCACCACAAAGTTCCTAATGATAAAATATGATAAAGTTTTCTCATTGAACAGATGAAATGCTACTTATGCACACAGTATCACATTTAAACAATATACAAGAAAACCTAAATCTGTTCCTCCAAAGAAGATTAAAATGTCACTTGATTAGCATAATCAGGACGATTCCCAACTTTCTTGCCAGTTTTGTTTGGCAGGCAGGAATCTCTCCATCTTGAGATGGAGCAATGCCCAACACAGATGTTCTGAAGGTCTCATATGTAGCAGCCAGTGCAGTTTGTTGTTACATAACTGCAATTTCATTTTGTACAATATTTAGAGTGGAGTAACCCAACAGCCCTTGCCTTGCCAGATTTCCAGTGACATTTGCAATCGCATGATTTGAAGGCAAGGGGGTTTTGTGCCTTTTTTTTTTTTTTTTTTTTTTTTCAATTTTTCTGCAGTCATTACAGTTCCACTTCAGTTGAGAAATACATTATTAGCTAACAGCACTTTGATTTATGAATGCTGATTTATTCAACTATTTGTTTGGAAATAAGAAAATGAACACTTTAAAATAAAATTGCCTTCTTTACATCCTTTACTTCAAGTAGTGTTGTCTTGTTGTCTGTAAATGCCTGCTTTTCAATTCTTTTCTGTCATGTCCACCATTACACTGACAAAATCACCTCTTTAAATTTGTCATTTGTCTCTAACATAATGTTAAGAGACATTACTTGGTGCAAAATGTTTTACATTAATGCATGTTATTTTTCTGCAAAATTACAGCTAGAAATTACACGATTATTTGACATTTTGAAAAGCAGCTATTTTTATAATACAGGAGTTTAGTTATTTAGCATCACAAAAATGAAAATTATTTAGATCTTGAAGATATCATCAAAGGTTGGGGTTCTTTTGCTTGAACAAGAAAAATAGTTGGTAAAGGAAGCAGTTAAAAGAAGGTGATGAGAAGAAAAGGAAGAAAGAGGCAGATCAATACAGCTTCTGGGTTTTGTTTGAACAGAAAAATGAATAATCCGTTAATCTAGGTGTATCAATCAACCTGGTACTCTCATTCCTCTCATCCCAAGAATACATCCAGACAAAATCAACCTCTGCATTGCTCTATTCCAGGCTTCCCTCATGCTTCAGGATTCTCTGTGCTCTATAGCTGGCTTGTCCTGGAGAAAAGTGCCAGCACCAACAAATTCTGTGTGCTCTTGGAAATTCATTTAAGAAGATTACAAATTTAACTGAAATTGTTCTGTAATTTAATTGCTAAATCTTACTCCTAACTACAATCCTTCCTTCAGCTTTGAGATCATTCACAGCAAACATTATCTATGTGAGCACACATTTGCCGCAAAATGCCCCTAACAAACCTACACACGGGGAACACAAATGCTGATTTTGCCCTGCAATTGTTTCATGTTGCTTCCCAAAGACATGTGAGGGAGAAGGAAGCTGGCGGAAAGAATAACAATATGTTGTTGTTTCATATTCGCACCCACTCTGGAGGGCAAGAATGGAAAATGTATTTTACAGTATCTTTCTACGTATCTTGCCAACTTTGCTTCCCAGTTAAGTGTTCAGTGACCCCATTCACTTCATCCACCAGAACAAACACTAGCACATGGAGCATCCGGTCTCCATCAGGCCAGAGGCTGAAGACACTAATGTTTCTTAACTGAATCTGACTTCCCATTAAAAGACAAGACATTCAATGGTTTCCAAAGGGAAGGCGAGGAAAGAAGAGATATTGGCTAAGTAGAGACAGGAAATCCAGTGAAGGACAAGTCTGGCACTCATGCCTCCCCTTTCTGCTTCACTGCTTAATTACTTAATGGAATGAATTGTACTTAACGCAGTGAGTTCTCTCGAATTTATAATTTATTCATTTCCAAGAAAACAACAAGCTGGTGAGGAATTTATCACTCACACTGGACACAGACTCTCTTTAGTTCAGAAATTTGCACAACATGTCGCTAACAGCTAATTAATGGAAAAGATTCAGTGGGTCATTTTGTTTGCTTGCAGCATTCAGCAGTCTTCAACACCCATAACCATGGGGCTTAGACACATACACTGTTCTACAACAGTAATTCAAAATAGAGCTTTTCTCTCTGGATTTTTTCTGGGGTTGTTTTTTTGTTTTTTTTTTTTTTTTTCCAATCCAAAGGACCAACTAGTTCATCTGTTATCTGCTATTCACTGGCATTCTTTTTGCAACCTGGTTACCCCTGCACAGACCTGTGCGGTCATTTGAATTCCGTTTAGTATGAAGCGCAATGCCTAATCTCTCTCAACTAAACCCACAGTATTCTCCAGTTATCTGAAATACAGCAGCAGCAATAAGGTAGACACTGATTTGGCGGCAGACATACCAGTTTTTACTACCTTTTAAACAAAGCTGTGAACTATGCTGAGTTAATCTGCAATATTATTTGCAAAGGGAATAACCTTGAAACTTGCTTTTATCTTAGGCTGCTTCTCAGTCAGCTCTGGCTTTTCTTCTGTTGATGCTGGAATAAAGAGAGTCTTGAATATCATTGTGAGAGAAGGTTGAGTACAAAACAAAACAACCATGTCTCCATCAATGTTTGTCTCCTCTCTCTCTTCGAGCACATTTTTTTTTTTTAATTTGTATAAAGAGGCCATGATCCTATTCTCATCCTCAGTCTCTCCTATTGATACTGCTCCATAGCAGTGTTCAACAATCTCGACTATCAACCAACATACAAAGGAACTTAACAATACTTTATGAATAGCACCTGTAGTTAATCTTTTTTCCTTCTTGTAGCACATGCTCATCTTTTACAGAAATGTGCTTAAGAGCAACATTTTCTCTTTGTTACCTTTTTACTGAAAGACAAGTGTATCTAAGCAGCAGCTCTATAACGTATTAATAACATCCAGGTATGTACTCTGCTTTTTTCTTGGGATATGCAAAATAAATACTTCTTGTGTTACAGAAATGTCAAGGATTTGTTAGCTCAGGAGCTCTCTGTCAGCCCTTTCTGGAACTCCAGCGTTGTATTGTACGTAGCACTTCATGTCAATGCTTTTAGGCTCTGGAAGCAAAGAAGCCTTTGCTTTTGAAGGTACTTTTTGACAAACTCTGAAGAGAAATAAGCTTTTGCTTCTCTGAAGAGCTTCTTGGAGGGAAGTATTAGCACAACTGGATAAGGCAGAAAAGAGCTACCATTCTAACAGCAATCTTCTCTTTGCCAGAATGATGATTTGGAATGACTACCAAGTCATAGCCTGAGTCTTTAACGACAATCATCTTCTTTCACATTTTAGATTTTGACACCCTTACATCAAAACAGAGCAAACAGACAAATTGACAATATCTG